CAATGATGGATAACTTTTCCAAAATCATGTTGTAGCTTAATGCTCTCACTATGCTTTATTTATAGCTAAAATTGGAATAACAAGAATGAGAATGTTTCTATTAGAAATTTGGAGCAGGCTTATAATAAGGTGGTGAGGCTGGCTAACTTTAGTGGTTTCATGGAGATGAGAGAGAGAGAGAGAGAGAGAGAGAGAGAGAGAGAGAGAGAGAGAGAGAGAGAGAGAGGAGAGCTCTACATGCTTGGAGATTGGAATAAGATCCATGGCTAACCAAGAGAATAGTAATTATCGATCTTCACTCATCAATGACATTTTGCCTGATTATGACAATAGTAAAATTTCTTAATATTTTATTGGCTTTTTTTTTCATATTTGTTTAAGGATTCTTTTGAATTAATTTGTCATTTTTTTCCTTTTTAAAGACATCATATTGTAACATATTTTCAAAGCCTCTATATGTATGGTGCATATACTAATTAAAATTTAAAGAGGTTTCATTCAAATAAGACTATTTCTTTATTTTATAAATTAATATCTATGTCAATTTTAAAGGTCCCAATGGTGAAAAATAACTTATAATGATCAAAAGAAAACTGAAAGCAAAATCGATAATTAAATTACTTTTTGGTCAAATAATAATGTTCTGCTGAAAAGGGAATAATGATCAAATAAGAAAGAAAAACAAAGAAAGAAAAAAAGTTAGGTCTAAAGATCTCTGGATTTTATCTTCTACAGATGTCGGGACCAAAATATATCGCCAACATTCCTTAAATGCTATATATATATATGGGAGAGGCAAAGAGATTGTAGCAAGCACTACATCGTGAGAAATTTTTCTTGTTGCTAGTAACTCGGATTGCTTGGGATGAATTTGTGAGGGTGTTTATAGATTGGTTTATTTCACCCTCAAATGGACTACAACTATAAGACAAATTCTTCAAATTGATCTAAGGTTCAAAGATGGTGATGTAGAATGATGTAGAATTCACTTCTTTTTCATAAATGCTCAAGATTATATTTATACTCAAGAAGAGAAGACTATAGATTCCTTAGAGGTCTCAGGGATTTGCTGAGATTCGTATTTACTCCTTTTGATATTAGAAAATTCTCAATTTTAGTGGAGAGAGCTAGGATAAATGAAAATGATTTGAATTACTCTAAGCAAAACAAGGAGCAACACTCTAATAAAAAAGAAATTTTTGAAAAGAGGGACCATCCCAAGAATAAGATTTTCAAATTTGATTGCAAACATAAACAATTGCAATTCAAGATGCACATATGTGAGCGGCACAAAAAGAGTCATTTTAGAGAAGTTCTTAACATTGAAAAATATAGATAGTAAGGGCAATTACAGCAATGGATATCAAAGTAAATTATAGATATATTGGACTTTAGAAAGGAAAAAAAAAAAAACAATTAGTAAAATATTCTACTATAATTGAATGTTGGAGGAAAGAGAAAGATTAAATTTACCTAACATGATATTATTTTACTTTCTTGTGATAAGACTGCAGTGTACTCCTTAGGATATTACATTTTTCTAAGGTGGATAGATTGTAACAATCCAAATTTTAAAAATAATTGAAAATTGAAAAAAAAATTGAATTCCTATTTAAATTGCGGCGTAGCAGAAGGAAAGAGAAATATAGTTTTCTAGTCTCCGAATAAATTTGTCATTTTTATAAAAATTGTTCATATCAAGATATGTGATTTTAATCCTATCTCGATTTTCAAATATTTTGATTTTAGCTATTTGATTCTCTGTAGAATTGATTTAGTTGCATTTTCTTTCAATTTATTGAATTTTACCGTACAACTTTTTATATATTATCATACTGATTATCTTGGATATTTTGACTATAACATTTATAATTTTCATAAGGTAAATGGAAGTTATTTATAAATTTCTTTAAGCATATTGTTAATACAAGAATTGGGAATGAAAATAAATATGTGATTGGACATTAGCTAGTCGCTATTACTTTTATTATAATATGTGTAAAAGACAAGTAAAGATTGGTTGTCCTATTAGTTGGTGATTGATTGATCTGTACAAGATGATAGGATGACAAACTTTTCTTTAAATATGTGGTTTGATATTATCCTATACTGATTCGTGTAATATATTAATTGAGATTTATAAGGAGTCATTACTGTGCAGATGGACAACGAGTAATGACTTTGTTTACTGAGTCAAATGGTGACCAACTATTGATTACTGAAAAATACCGTGATAACAATAACTCTTTGTTGAATAATGTAGCATATTATTGATTCATTGTTGTTGTTATTATATAATTTTATTGGTTTGCTATTATTGTTACTGATTTATTGTCACTATACGGATTTAATGTTACTACATTGCTTTGTTGTTACTACAACCAGTTTTCTAATGACACTATTGGGACACCATACTACCATTAATTAATTGTTGCGGATATAGAATAACTAGATAGTATGTGTACATTATTATAGGGCTTTACTGCATTGATTTGATTCTAACAACCTTTATCAAAACTTTGATTTTATCACTTTATATGATTTATCTATTGATTGATTGTACTGTTATGATGACTACGTTGTTGATTCGACCCTCGTATTGGTTTATTGGTTTTATTATTGTACTGCTTTATTGAATTCTATATCGTATTATTTTACTATTTTACAGACTTTACTACTACCACATGTGAGCTTAATGTTTCTACATTGGTTAAATGATCATATGAATGCTACTGTCATGATTTGATTGCTAACATGTATATTACTTCTTTATTGCATTTTGAGTTTAATTATAGGTCTTGGATGACTTGTTGGGATTTTTTAGTTCATTATATGCAGTTAAATGATTTCACATCAGAGCAAGAGAACATGAGTGTGAGACTAATCAAGATTCCACATGTTCATTCATTTTTGTTTTAGTTATTTTTTTATACTCATAACTGAAAAGATATGTCATAATTTACAAATTATAATTCCTGAGTAGTGTACATATTTTTTCTTAAATGAATACAGATATATATTTTGATATTTTGATTGATAGTTTTGTTTCCGTTGGTATTGTATTGATTAAAAAAATAGATAGCCGTGATTGTTGTTTATTAAAAAATAAAAGAATAATTATTTCAAATTAGAGTATGGGGCGTGATAAGTTGCTTAAGAAAGCAATAAGAAAGTTGACCCAAACGAAACCTTAAAGAGATTGGTTTTACATCACTTTAGTGATTTAGAATTTTTTCATTCAATAGGGCATAAATTTAAAGACTAAAGTAAGATATCATTCAATATCGATATTTGCACGATAATAAGGATTTGAAAATAGATTGACTATGATAGTAGAATAACTCTCCTATTCATGATACATTTTTTTTCAAAAAAAAAAAAAAGAGGATATGAATTTTCTTACAAGATGATGTTTATTAATAGATTTGCAAACATTTAAGTTGCAAAGTATTCGAGTTTTATTCAATCATTAAAATGATTACGCTAAATAAAACTCTTTGATGAGTTTTTTATTAAAGAATTGAAATGGAACAAATTTTTATTAAGTTAAGATTAAACCCCCATTGACGCTTCCAAAAGCCTTTCCAATCTCAGTTCCAAAGTCAGCAATTTCTACTTTGGATGCACCTTAGTGGGCTTGGAAAGCTTTCTGAATCATTGGCAGGCTTTGTTTGAGTCGGCTTTCTTGCTGCTTTTTAAATCATTTTTTTAGTGATAAAATAAAATAAAAAATACTAAAAACATACTTTAAGAAATAATAACAAAGCCGTCCCTAATGAAGCTGCAATCCAACAATTGCCCGGCCAGAATGATTTTGTACTTTGCAGAAAGCCGACTAGTTGAACAAGAAAAGAGAGCAATTGAGAGCGCCGTCGGCGATGTGGTACTTGTGCTAGAAAAGAAAGAATGGATTGAAGCTAAAGAATCTATTTGGGATGACTACAATGTTTTATAAAATTGGTTGTTGAGTTCCTAGGAAGAAAACATCTTCTTTTTTAAAGTTGTAGAATCAACCTTCCATCATCACAATTTCTAAAAAATAGTAAAAAAAAAAAAAATCGTTGCCAAACAAAATTGGAATTGTTGTATGAAAAACAAAAAAGTTAGAAAACTGTCCCAAACAAATCCAAAGTTAGTGGAAGAGTTTTTTTTTTTTGTTGAAGACATGATATTATAACATTGGATTGTAAAGCTTTTTTCTTATTCATTTCTTGAAATTTTTATTTCTTCTACCATTTATAGCCATTCAAAAAATTCAACATATTCTTTTGTTAGATCATATATTTTATGAACCAAGAAAGTGGATGTATGATAAAGGACGGATGACAATGCAATTTGGATAATGTGATATTGTTGGAATTTTTCGTAATGTGATTGTTGATTTCATATTCCAAGTCTCTTCAAGATTATAATAAAACGGTTGATTGATTGTCATGTGCTGCCTACTAATTATGTACCAAATAGTTGTATTATTAATATATATATAACTGGTGACTGCATACCGCCCCATATTAACATCCATGATTTTGTAAGATCGTTTTGTATTATGTCATTTTTAAGTGAGTGCAATATAACATTCCTGAAAATAGTTGGGGTCGGAGAATTCATTGTACCAACTTATATTTCTTTCCACTTAGGTAAGTATAAGATATTCTCTTCTTCCTCTATCTTTTTTTAATAATCTTCTTGTTTTAAGATAGATGTGTACAATAATCTGCTATGATTATAAGATATTATTATAATTTTTTTTCATTGTCCATATTTTCGATTATGTTGAGAGTGAGCTAATCGCTTCAATTTTTATATTTATGTGTATATTTAATTGATTTGCAGTAGTAGCAAATTACATATGATGATCATGATTTAATAAATATTCAAAATAATCAAAAGAGCATTCAAAGCAAAACCAATAACTAAACCGCCTCCCCTCCAACAATACTTCTACTGTGCAGGGAATAGGGATTGATGACCAAAATAATTTAAAAAATAAAAACAATTTGTTAGCTTAAAAGGGGTCTCTCAATGTCCTCTTCCTCTTCTTCACTGGTGGTTGATTCTGTTAGCTTGTCCTGATCATCAGTATTTGGTAGCCCAAATCCTTCTTTCATCTTTGCCCACAAAACCATGTAGAGACCAAAAAACATTGCCAACATTCCTACAAAGCTGTTAATTACACATAACTCGTAAAAATCATTAGTGATTACTTAATCTTAGGCTTCGTTTGGGACGACTTTCTTACTGCTTCTTAAAACAGGTTTTTAGAACAAAAAATAAAATTTGTGTACTAAAAAACTGCTTTAAGAAACAGTAAGAAAGCCGTCCCAAACGAAGCCTTCTCATATCAAAATTTGATAACAAAAGTAAAATCTTGTTATATACGCATGAGAAATTATTAGGTGTCAACTTGATAGATGTGCACAATTAATTATGAGATTACACACAATTATGTACAACCTCTTATTTGATTATCTTAAATGGACTGAGGTTTCATTTGGGACAGCTTTCTTACTGCTTCTTAAAGCAGTTTTCTAATATAAAAAATTTAATTTTTGTATTAGAAAGCTGCTTTAAAAAGTAGTAAGAAAACCTTCTCAAACGAAGTCTAAGAGTTCATTTGGCATAACTTTCTCATATTTTTATTTTTCACATTCCTACAAAGCTGTTAATTACACATAACTCATAAAAATCATTAGTGATTACTTAATCTTAGGCTTCGTTTGGGATGACTTTCTTACTCCTTTTAAAACAAGTTTTTAGAACAAAAAATAAAATTTATGTACTAAAAAGATGTTTTAAGAAACAGTAAGAAAGCCGTCCCAAACGAAACCTTAATCTCATATCAAAATTTGATAACAAAAGTAAAATTTTGTTTTATATGCATAGGTGTCAACTTGATAGATGCGCACAATTAATTATGAGATTACACACAATTGTGTACAACCTCTTATTTGATTATCTTAAATGGACTATGGTTTTGTTTGTGACGGCTTTCTTACTGCTTCTTAAAGCAACGTTGTAGTACAAAAAAATTAATTTTTTTATTAGAAAGCTGCTTTAAAAAGTAGTAAGAAAACCGTCTCAAATGAATCCTAAGAGCTCATCTGCACATCTTTCTCATAGTTCTGTTTTTCACGCATCAATCATATTTTTATTTGGCTATAAAAATATTTTTGTTGTTTTCTCTATTGAGAAATAATTTTTTATCTCCAAATCCACTAGATTGTGGTAGCGGCAAGAAAAATCTTGTTTGATTTTTTATAAGTAAATTTATAGTATTCACAATAATTAAAAAAATGTTTTTTTTTTTTTTTTATATCAAATCTATAGTAACTTTTAAAAACAATTGCAAATCATCCCAAAAAATCCTAAACATGAAGAAAGAATATTAGAATACTAACCTTTCAAACTTGATAACTTGGCCAAGTATTATTGTCGAAAGAACCGTGGAGCAAACGGTCTGAATGGGATTAAACATAGAGACCATGACTGGCCCCTTCCTTAGCACAGCCCAAGTTTGGAATGCAACACATAGTGCAATCAGCATTCCTCCCTGTATATCAAAATTTTGTTTAAACAATTGAGAAGACTGAAATATAATTAATTATACCTAATTTCTTATGCAAAATAACAAAGATTGACCAGCCATTTGGGAGCCCATTATTTCACATACTAGGTAGAGTAAGACTTCGCTTGGGGCGGCTTTCTTGCTGATTTCTAAAACAGTTTTTTAGTACAAAAATTTCTAAAAAATCTATTTTAGAAAGGAATGAGAAAGTCGTGCCAAACAAAGCCTAAGAAAAAAAAAATCTTAAGCATGAGTTACTTAGAGTTGTTGGTAGATAGTCTATGCTATGATCTAGAGGTCACCAAATTTGAGTTACTTAAATAATCTCTCTATAAATACAAGAATATGATCAACTCTTTTTTAAATCCTATATTAAATTGGGTTTTATGTATTACTATATACACCCAAAGATTTTAAATATTTCATAATTATAACTCATTTTGAAATGTTTAATAATGTACTTCTTATACTCTCAAATCATTGAGCAATTAACAAAACTACTCTCAATGTGATTATTGTTGTATTTTTAATAATGCATGATCTTTCATGATTATAAATTATTACTAAATATTTAATTATGTACATCTGTATTTAATGAGTGCATGACTTGTACTAAACAGAAAAATATGTGTGCGAGGGGAAAAAATATACGCACCAGGAAGACAAAGGAGATGATGGCTTGGATACTGATAGTTGGCTGACCAAAATCCAGCTTCCCTTCCATGATAAATTGCACAATTGTAGTAAGTACTGAGGCCAGCAGGGATGTTACACAGCACAAGGACAAGGGAGCCGGGAACTCCATCATTGTTGCAGCCTAAAATATTGCAGAAGATTTTCTATCACTCATATAAAGACAAATGCATTCGGAGACAATAATACATATGAAATTTCGAGGTGAAGTAACAGGTCTATACATATCTGCAGCTAACCCAAATCATTGATTATTAAAAAAAAGGATACGGTTAATAAAATTAATAAATAATTTACTACATTCATATCATCTAAGGTAATAGGCCTTTTTAAAAAAAAATAAGGTAGTTATCCTTATTTGCTATCAGGCTTTTTAACATGCATGTTATGAAGTTGAGGTCTAATCTGAAGTTTCTGGAATGTATTGCTGATAAAGAGCAATGCAATGAAAGTGGAGATCATGATAAACTTCTGACATTTCGGTTTCATTTGGAACAATTTTTTTGCTGCTTTCTGAAACAACTTTCTAACAAAAAAAAATTTTGTAATAGAAAGTTGTTTTGAAAAACAATAAAAAAGTTGTTTCAAACGAAGCTTTGAATTATTGTGCCAAGAAAAAAATCCAATGTAGAAGAACCTAATGGGTGATGATAAGAAGAGATTGAGAATGGGAGAGAAACGAATACTTCAAGATGATGGAGTGATCTGATACATAAATAAATTAATCATAAGGATGTTGGGAACAATTCTACGGTCGGGAGCAAAATCAACATTTAATTTAGAATATTAGACATTTAATTAGTCATTGCATTTAGTCAGAAAGAACTGCTATTTTTGAAAAAAAAAACAGTATATGAAAACAGAGTTGAGTGATTTGTGTATAACCTGCAAAACCGTGCTACAGGATAGAACGAGAACTGCTCCCAGCAGACTGCAGCAACCAATGATCCAGTCCCTGTACACATTAACTGGCGACGGATTAGGCAAGACAGAAGAGCGTCCAAAATCCGTTGGATCTGTAGGACTTTGCAAGATGCTCAAGGCTACTGCTCCAGTCAAGCAAACCAATGTCCCTAGGATCTTTGTTCTAGTGTAGTTGCACTTAAAGTCTAGTTTTTCAAGCCTACAATGGAAATCAATCTCATATATTACTGGTCCATTGCAATCCCAATAAAAAAAAAAATCCTCAAAAAAAAAGAAAGACAATCGGGAGAAACAATAATAGTAACGAAACACAGTAAAATCTACAAGGGAGTCCCTTGAAAATATAGGCTTATCATTAATTGAAAACAACAATTTTTTATGTTTTCTTCTTATTAATATAAAATAGAAGAAATCACTAGTGCATTAGTTCATCACAAAAATAAATTGAAAGGCAAGCAGTTAAAGTACATCTGAAAATGTTCATGGTGGCTGGAGCATTACTTTTGTTCCTTGGAAGGCTAGAACAGACCTATCAGTTTTTACCAATAATTACATTGCATGAAGGACTTCTCCTTCGCTACAAAGAAGAAGCCAAAGAAACAATACCTGATCAACATTGATGATCCACAAAATGAAGCACTAGTAATGACAAATTTACGAATGGATATAATAGAAGTACTTTTAGAAAAGCATGATAGGAAGTTTGCCTAAGGCTTCATTTGGGATGACTTTTTTACTGCTTCTTAAAGCAGCTTTTTGATAAAAAATTTAATTTTTATACTAAAAAGTTGTTTTTAGAAGTAATAAAAAAGCTGTCCCAAATGAATCTTAAGAATGTAAATTTTGAAAAGCTTTTAAAGCAAAAAATGAGAAGCATAAGTTATCCAGATTTAACAGGTTTTGCAGATCATTCGAGCTTTACCATAATTTCCCTGATTATGCTAGTCTTTTACTTGTTTTCAGGATAGTTAGTTTATTGCATCACTTGTTTTTGGGTTCTGTGAAACTGCTGCTATTAACATATAAATAGCTACAGGTTTTTGAGTTTAGGGAGCTTGGTTTTTTATTTTCATTCTCTCCTTAAGGACTGAGCGCAATGCTCTGTGAAGGGTGTTAAACAAGTGCTGAAGAATTTCTTCTCCAATTCAATCTACATTGCTTTTCTAAATTATATTTGTTGTGGGCTAGAAAATACGCGGCGATAGAGATTGAATTCTGCGTCTTAACGTTGTACGTATAACTAGCTCACACACAGAGAACATAAGATTTTTTTCGTGGAAAACCATTAAAAAGGGAAAAATCACGAGGCCTAGCCCAGTTGAAAACGATTCCACTAGACTTTGAGTTGGTTACAAAGGACTAAATCACCTCCAAGGTTGCTCTTAATTGACTTCCTGTGAGTAATCTTGATTGTTCAAGAATAACTACAACTAGTATCAGAGCAAAGGGGACAATACCAATGCAAAATTTTCTTAGCTAATCAATTTTCTTAAAAAGGTCCTTAGCTAATCGATTTTTTCTTGAAAAAAAAAAAAACATCTATACCCTCTCTAAATGAATGAGTCAAAAGATCTCAGGAAGCATATGGACGAATTCAATGAAATTATACTTGATCTTAAAAATGTCCAGCAAGAACTACTGCAGAAGATCAAGATGGAATTCCAAGGATTCAAGAAGATGTTTCCATTGCCACAAGGACATTTTAAAAAAGAAAAATTGATCGGATAGAAACAATTGACAGCAAACTATTCCTGGATGTTTTTATTCATGATCTTCTTAAGGATTAAGAATGCAGTAAGAACTAACACTATTCCTGGATGTTGGGAAATAAGTTCTACCTGAGACAAGCCGCGATTATGAAAATAATCCCCGGCGCAAGGTTGGGCATGGCCGAGGCTATAGCTGGGGAAGTTTTCTTGATTCCCACGAACATTAGAGATTGGAATGTAGTCACCCTGCAAGAATAAATCAATAAATAAATAATGGACAACATTATTCCCAAAATGCAAGGAAGACAGAACTCTAAATTTCCCTTTTTCCTCAGTTAGACTAATTCTCATGGAGGTTTTCACTTTAATCATTCAAAAATAACTAAATAAAAAGAGCATTGCAGTTTTCAATCATGAGAGATTAATTACCCTCCCAAGGAAATCAGAATAAACTGAACCACCAAAGTAAGGCTCAATTTTGATGGCCATTTCTTCCTGCACGATGGAAAGCAAAAAAATCAGCATCGTAAACAAAGATAACTGCAACACAAAGAGGAAGAAAGAAGAAAAACAAAAATTAATCTCGTACTTCTCCAATGCAATTGCGAAGGGAAAGATGAAGAAGGCCATCGCCAAGCTTCCAATGATTACGAGGAACAGAGGCTTGATTCCGAGGGATAGGATAGGTTTCAAGAGCACTATGTAGAAAGCGCCTATGATCTGCACAGCAATGAGGCCGGAGATGATGAGAAAATCCTCCATGAACTCCGCATTCGGCTTCCTCCCCGTCGGGGCCATCGTCGAAGCTGGGTGGCGTGGCGGCGAGCCTGATGGTCGCCTCCTGGTCGGAATGCCCGCGATGTTCGCGGCAGTATATGTGGCGAGCGGACGGTTCGGGGATTGAGGATTATTATTCATTCGGTCATTTGTCGCTCTTCTTGCAAGCTTTCTCTTTCCCTCCCAATGGAATAAAGTACGTGGCCGAATGCATCTCTCGCCAACGACAGAGAGCAGTGGCTGGGAATCCGCATATGAAATTTTATGCGGATTTCTTCACGATAAGAAATTCATAGCGTTGAGAGTCGTGTGAATGGTGTGATGGACGGCCACGCATTGTTTCCGTCTACTGATTTTTATGCGCCGCTCTTGTCGTCCCAACGAACCAAAGGCCCGCTTCGGGTACCAAACGGTGGAAACGGAGGCTTTCTGTTTATTTCGGTAAAACATATTTTGAATTTATTGTACATAAAATTACTTCGTGAAGTTATTCTACAAAATTAACATATTTTATTTAAGTAAAATAACTGTCAAGTTATTGTGTTGTATGTGTATAGGAATAAGTTATTTTGATACCTATTGAAATTGATATGTTATTGAAAATTTTCTCGATCGGTCATGAATCTCGCGAAATATTCAAATTAGAAACTTTTAAAATTAAATTTGAAACCATTTAAACTCCGATTTCTACAAGCTTATAGTCAAATTGAACATCTCAAGGCGATGAATTCAACGACACCAAAATAAATCAGACCGAGCCCAAATAGATCCAAACCAGGGGACCAAAGCGTATTTGAAAGGTTCATAGCATTGATTGGATGACCAAATGATCACCAAATATGATATGCTTTTAGTCGAATCGAGTGGCTCGACGAGACGAACATTCTATGGTTGAGAGAATCAGTATGGGTCATCAAATGAAGCTCGTCGGATTTACCATGGATCTCCTTTATTTTTACAGAGTGTGTCACAAAAATCTATAAATATACCTCCACTCTCTACATGAAGGGGACATTTTTCTGGAGATTGGAGAGAGTTTTGAAGTTTCAAAGATCTAGAGCTCCTCCACCTAAGCACCAACGCAAACGAACTCCTATCGGTCGACTAAACCATCGTTCGATTGCTCAACCACCGTCGCACCTTCTCGCTGATCTCCAACGAACTTCTACGGACCACCACCGGACCTCCATCGGACTTCTGCCAAGTACCATTGGATCTCTGTCGGACTTCTGCTCAACCACCGTCCTGCCACCGACCACCGCCGGACAATCATCGGCTATCGACCACCACCGGAGCTCCCCTATCCACCAAACTCCTGCCAGACCACCACTTGACCTTTGATTGTCGCCGGACTTCCACCCGATTAACGCATGAGTTAGACTTTGGCCTGACCTCCGTTCCAGCTTCGCCGAACTCTCCAAACTATTGTAATTGTACCGCCTCTAATAAATATTTTAAAATTTGACAAATCTTGTGAGAATGCTTAGCAATGCTATCTAGGATTTAAGGTGGTTAACTTATATGACATTTGTGTTTTAAATATGAGTTCTTATTAATTTAATTTTAATTTTAACTGCAAATATTATAATTAGGATGTTATTTAAAAAAAAAGAGTATTTAATCACTAATTTATTTAGGTGTTATTTTAATAAGTATTTTAGTGTAATTATAATTATGTAATTAATTATTTAATTAAAATTTAAATTAATTGATCATTTAATTACTATTTATACTACTAAAATTTTCATTAATTTTTAAAAATTATTTTAGTATATTTATAATTATCTAATTAATCAATTAAATATTCTATTACTAACGAGTTATTTAATTAATATTTACACAACTAATTGCGTAATTAATTAATTAATTAATTATATTTAAATTATAATAATTAAGCTAATTAAACTACGTCTAATTAAGAAACTAAGAATTAATCTAATCCTTATAGCCGGGTTGGCTATCCTGTTTTCTGTCTTTTCGTTGCCGTTGGCGATGAGTAGAGCGTCAGAGACTTCGGCTTCGCTGGTTCGCGTGAGGTAGAGCTTCGATCGACTCGATTGCCATTGCCTGTCTAGGGTTTGCTTTTCCTCTTCTGCATTTATTCGTTGCTGTTCTGCTTCGCATGAAGTAGAGTTCTGAAAGAGTAGAAGCTTCTCGGCCTTCTCTTCTCTTTGACGTTGTTCCTGTTGATAGGAAGTTGCGCCAGGAGATCGCCGCGAAGTCAACGATATTTCTCCCCTTTCGCGCGCTTCTTCGGTCGGATTTACGAAATCCGCAAAAAATTCGGGTTTACGATATCCCGGATTTGGGGCAAAAATGACGAAAACGCCGTGAAGTTGAGATTAGACTTACCGTGAGATTTAACTTTGTATTTTTGGGCGTTTGGCAGGATTTAGCTCAAATCTTGCCTAAATCTGGCCTAAATCCTGCATCCCAACAGGCCCTATTTTTGCAAGTAACACTACAAAAATCCCAATTTGTCGTCGACCTCCTTTGTGTTAGCTCTATTCGAAGATTCGGCCCTGCACCTGTCCATCCGCACGTTCAAGCTAGGTAAGCCATTGATTTTGTTTGTTTGTTTTTTCTAAATATTGAAGGTGTATTTTGAAACAGGCCCAAGGTTTTTATGCCATGCTTTTAATTACTTTTTAACTGAAGATCTTTCAGTTTCAGGAAAAGTAATGATTTATAGAAAACATATTGAGATAATGTTTATGAAGAAAATAAATGCTGGCTTTATATGATTTGATTGTGTTATGTAGATAGCCCTGAAAAATAGTATTCATGTAATGTTGTTATATAGAAAGCTCAACTGCGACTATTATGTCTTTTGTTGTTTTTCTTAAAACATCCAGACGTACACAGATGTGGCATGTGAGAAGTTCTGTAGAACAGAGACAGGGAAGCTCTGTCTCACTGAAACGGAAAGAAGCTTTGCAGGAATATTCTATATTATTTTAGTATCCATTACATGTATTTATACATTTCGTATGAGCTGTACCCGTACAGTACAGTTGTACATTACAGCTGTCATATAACTGAATTATCTTGAAACGTTCTTGAGTTGTCTAACACCCTCCCTCAAGCTGATGTTTCGGTAGAAGATATCAGCTTGGATGATATCGATCGGAATTGAGCTCTGGGTGGTGACTTTGTTAACAAATCAGCAAGTTGATCCTTGCTTGAAATATGATGAACATGAATTGTTTGATCTTTGATGCAATTTCGAATGAAGTGACAATAAACTTCTATGTGCTTTGTTCGAGCATGGTAAACTGGATTGTTTGCTAGTGCTATAGCTGATGTGTTATCACAGTATAACGTAGTGGATGAACTTTGCGGACAACCAAGTTCTTGTAGCAATTGTCTCAACCAGATTATCTCAGCAGCAGCTGAGGCTAAAGCTGATGTGAAACGTACATGCGATGGAGTTACTTTAGGAAATTATAAAGAGCAATTGAAACTTAATAACCCCAAAATAAAATTATCGTTTATAATAAAAGAGTGATCATTAGAATTGGTGGTTTTAACTTGCTTAGGCAAGGATGAGCAAAATCCGGAAACCAAACAATTTAAAAAAAATGCAAAGTTCAAATTGTAAAACTACGACGGTGAACAAAAATCCCCAATTTAATAATAAGAATTTTCACCTTTGGAGCCCATACGCTCAACTAATCTAGGCTTTAGCGGAAGAAGAGTCTCCACCTTAGAATCGAGGTCGCTCCGAGGAAGAAGGAACCTTGGATCGTCGTTCTTGGAGAGGTTGCCGGAATAAGGAATTCTTGCCAGCAATTTCTTGAAGGTGTATTCGGCAGCCTGGAATGTCCGGACAGTGTTTGGAGACCTTCTAGCAGGCTGGACAGCAAGAAAACATGTTCCAAATCTCCTAAA